TGCAATACCTTATGTACATTTCTGAAACACTAACTGGATTTTAATAAACAGCTTTTAACACTTTCTTCGTAGTCTCTGATAAGCTGGTATTTCTTACAAGTACATCAACATGTATACTACGTAGCTAACGGGAGTTGGCAATTCATGGTTTTGGCCTTTTGGGAGCCTTCGGGTGCCGTACAAATTCTCACCCCCTCTAAAAAAATATCTGGAATTGGCCAGAGCCCATTTTTATTTCTAAAGACATGGTTTATCTGTGTGAGTTGCGAGAGTCAAATCTGTTTTTAAAAAATCCACTCCTAAAAGCTTCCAGGAGAGGGTGTTCACTTTTGGGAGTCACAAAAACAGCTTTGTGGATAATATGTAGCTCCTGGGCTGTACTATTTCCTAAGCTGTAAAATCATGAGACTCCGACACATGATATTATAGCTTAGGGGAAAATATGCAAGCTGATTTTTCAAAGTTCTCAAGACTGTAAAGAAATTAGGAAGAAATATCAGATGTAGCATAGGAGTAGCCATGGTGGCTCGGGCCAAGGGTCTACTAAGTTCAGCATTCTCTTTCCACTGGCACCAGAAACCTATGGCACAGACTGGCAGAACTCATGGTCTATGTTGTATTGTTTAGAAAGATCAGAATCATTTTTGTGCAAAGTATTTCCTTGATCAAGCATAAGAAACAGCTCTGAATCTAAAATAAACCTTGAAAATAAAATTAAGTCAATAAATATTCTTATTTAGGAGTTCATGGAGTATGTCAAGCCGGAATGGAGAGAAAATGCTTAATTGTGAATGGGGAAAATAAGATAGTCATAGTGCTGTATTATGTCTATTGCATATCCAGGTATTTACAGGCAGATGAAAAGGGAATAATAGAGTTATTTTTGAATCATTACTTCAATCGATATGCTTATATACTGTTTATAATTCAAGGGCTTTAAAAGGTTTTTTCTTAATTCTGTTTTAATACTGTGACTTAATTTGTATTCACTTTTTAATCATGCTGTGGGGTTGTCTTGAAACTCAGTTTTTGAAGAAACACATGCTACAAATCAAGCAAGGAAATAACAGAGTATTAAGTAGTTTCAATGGTTTATTATTTATTTATTTAAAACTTTTTTATCCCAATCTTCTCTACCTCTGTAGAGGGACTCAGACCGGCTAACAGCAAGAATTCAATGCTAAACAGTAAAAATCTAAACAACAGTAAATTAACAATACATATAAAATAAATACACAAAAGCCATTCGCCAAGATAAAAACATGTCCAACTCAGTCCGTATATTCAGTCCATGTATTGTGGTCAATACTTTGGTCGATTATCGGTCTCACCTATCATTCTGCAAAGGCCTTGTTCCACAGCCAGGTTTTCACTAGCTTCCCAAAGGTCAGGAGGGAGGGGGCAGATCTGATTTCCTTCGGGAGGAAATTCCATAGCGGGGGGGGGGGGGGGGGGGGGGGGGGTGGCACCACAGAAAAGGCCCTGTTTCTTGTCCCCACCAGATGCGACTGCGAAGATGGCGGGACCGAGAGCAGGGCCTCTCCAGATGATCTTAACTCTCTTGATGGTTCAAAGTCCAGTACACAAATCCACAGGATCTAGAGACTGTAAGTTCAAAATAGTCCAGGAAATCAAAGTCACACAAAGATATAAGAACAAATTTGAGCAATTACATCCAAAGGTATGAACATAGATCCAAGGCAGGAAACATACAGGAATCTCAGCATGAACATGAAGGCATGAATACAAGGCATGGAGAATAAGACACGGTTGCACTTCAAATCTAAACATTGATCTCACTCAAGATTACAGTTTCATGGGCCCTATATTTATTCAGAAAGCCATGGCAAAAGCATTCAGTTTCCCTTGGGAAACCTCTTCCTGACCCGTCTTCTCTCTCAATCTTTCGGATCACCTCCTCCCTACTTCCAGGTGACAATGCTGATATATCTGACTCCTCCTGTCAAAGACTGTCTCCCTCAGTTTGCCAATTACTGCATTCCTTTCACATTCTGACCTTGACGGCTCAAAATCTCTCTCAATCTCCTTGTCTGCCTGCACACAATCCTTAATTTTAGAAAGGAGGAAACCATGAAAATGAACAAAATTTGGCTACCACTATTAAAAAACTCTAAAATTAGAACAGCACAACAACAGAGAGGAAACAAACAAGGATATCTAATTACCTCTCAACAAAAGATTGCTCCAGGCACTGCCAGGCGATCAAATGTTAATCAAGGTGATCAGTTGAAACATGCACACCTAGCTCCAGCAGACAAGAGTCCTTTGTCCTACCCTGGTCATTCCACAGATATATAAACCCATTTTCCTACTTCCAACAGACCTCACTACCTCTGAGGATGCTTGCCATAGATGCAGGCGAAACGCCAGGAGAAAATGCCTCTAGAACATGGCCATATAGCCCGGAAAAACCTACAACAACCCTATTATTATTATTATTATTATTATTATTATTATTATTATTATTATTAAGGTCAGGAGAGCATGCTGCTGGAAGATGGCCATACAGCTTGAAAAACTCACACCAACCCAGGGACCAAATGTTGCACAGAAATGCAAAGATACAGAATGGGGGGACGCCTGACTTGAGAGCAGTACATGTGAAAAAGATCTTGGGAGTCCTCGTGGACAACAAGTTAAACATGAGCCAACAATGTGATGTGGCGGCAAAAAAAGCCAATGGGATTTTGGCCTGCATCAATAGGAGCATAGTGTCTAGATCCAGGGAAGTAATGCTACCCCTCTATTCTGCTTTGGTTAGACCACACCTGGAATATTGTGTCCAATTCTGGGCACCACAATTCAAGAGAGATATTGACAAGCTGGAATGTGTCCAGAGGAGGGCGACTAAAATTATCAGGGGTCTGGAGAACAAGCCCTATGAGGAGTGGCTTAAGTAGCTGAGCATGCTTAGCCTGAAGAAAAGAAGGCTGAGAGGAGATAGGATAGCCATGTATAAATATGTGAGAGGAAGCCACAGGGAAGAGGGAGCAAGCTTGTTTTCTGCTGCCTTGGAGACTAGGACGCGGAACAATGGCTTCAAACTACAAGAGAGGAGATTCCATCTGAACACGAGGAAGAACTTCCTGACTGTGAGAGCCGTTCAGCAGTGGAACTCTCTGCCCCGGAGTGTGGTGGAGGCTCCTTCTTTGGAAGCTTTTAAACAGAGGCTGGATGGCCATCTGTCAGGGGTGATTTGAATGCAATATTCCTGCTTCTTGGCAGGGGGTTGGACTGGATGGCCCATGAGGTCTCTTCCAACTCTTTGATTCTATGATTCTATACTCAGCTATGAGGGAAAACCTATGATGATGACATGCATTTTCTTTTCAGAGACAGACAGTAAATTTTCTAGGTTTTTAAAAGCTTCATAATCATAATGAGATCAAGAGAACTAAAAGAGATCTTATGACTATGAAGACCATATCTAGTAAACTTAACAAAACCATTGAAACAAGCAGATTACATACTCTATTATTTCCTTGCTTGATTTGTAGCATGTTTCTTCCAAAACTGAATTTCGAGACAACCCACAGCATGTTTAAAAAGTGAAGACAAACAATTAAGTCATATTATTAAAACAGAATTAAGATAAAACCTTTTAAAGCCCTTGAATTATAAACCGTATATAAGCATAACGACTGAAGTAATGATTCAAAAATAACTATATTATTCTCTTTTCATCTGCCTGTAAAAAACCTGGATATGCAATAGATGTAATACAGCACTGTGACTATCTTATTTTCCCCGTTCCCAATTAAGCATTTTCTCTCCTTCATTCCTGCTTGACATACTCCATAAACTCCTACATAAGAATATTTATTGACTCAATTTCATTTTCAAGGTTTAGTTTAGATTCAGAGCTGTTCAGCAGTGGAACTCTCTGCCCCGGAGGGAGTGTGGTGGAGGCTCCTTCTTTGGAAGCTTTTAAACAGAGTCTGGATGGCCATCTGTCAGGGGTGTTTATTATTTATTTATTTATTTATTTCTGGTGCTTTTACCCCGCCCTTCTCAACCCCCGAAGGGGAACTCAGGGCGGCTTACAAAAAAGGCACAATTCGATGCCTGTACAATTTACACATAATATACAAAAACGTAGTTAAAAACAGTTATCACAAATTAAAACAATCAAACAACCAGTACATAACACATCATATAAACATCATATAAACCATTCTCATATCCAGCGTTTTGTTTCCAGAGTTCCATAGATCCAATCCATTAATCATTTCCTAGTCATCATCAAAGTTCTTTCTTTATCTGCCCGATTGTCCGAATGCCTGGTCCCAGATCCATGTTTTTAGTTTTCTCCTGAAGGAAAGTAGCAATGTTGCAGATCTAATTTCCCCGGGGAGTGAATTCCACAGACTGGGGGCCACCGCCGAGAAGGCCCTGCTCCTCGTCCCCACCAATCTCACTTGTGATAGAGGCGGGGTCGAGAGCAGGGCCTCCCCAGAGGATCTTAGGCTCCAGGGTGGGACATAGAGGGAGATGCGTTCGGACAGATACACTGGGCCGGAACCGTATAGGATTTTGTAGGTCAAAACCAGCACTTTGAATTGTGCTCGGAACTGGATCGGCAGCCAGTGGAGCTGACACAACAGGGGGGTGGTATGCTCCCTGTATGACGCCCCGGTGAGCAGTCTGGCTGCCTCCCGCTGGACTAGTTGGAGTTTCCGAGCAGTCTTCAAAGGCAACCCCACATAGAGTGCGTTGCAGTAGTCTAATCAGGATGTAACAAGAGCGTGGACCACCATGGCCAGTATTTAAATGCAATACTCCTGCTTCTTGGCAGGGGGTTGGACTGGATGGCCCATGAGGTCTCTTCCAACTCTTTGATTCTATGAAATGAATGGAGAGGATAGATGGCACCTTGCAAGGAATGGCTCCTTTGATGCTTGAGGAGCCCGCCCTGTCCTCTTACCCTCCTGCCTGCCTTCTTTCATCCCACGTGCCGCGCGCTCCCGCTCCTTCCCAGTGCGCCTGCGCGCGGAGAGGCTGGCATGCCAATGGCTGGGGCGCCTGCCCGGCTCAGTCGAGCGAAGGCAGCAGGCAGGAGGACGCCTCAGAAGGAAGGAAGGCAGGAAGGAGCCCCCGCAGCCCAGCCATGGTCTCCTGGATCATCTCCAGGCTAGTGGTGTGAGTACCGCAGCCCCCCTCCCTCCTTCCCCTCCCCGGATAAGAATACCCGCTCTGGCTGGGCAGCAGGGCTATATTTAGCCTTTGGACACCGCTGCTGCAGCCGTTTTTCCAAACCCAACGGTGGGAAGGGAATGGCGGCTCCTCAGCTAGGATTCTGAAAGCCTGCTCGGCGTGACAGTGGGCGCTGCTGTTCGTTTTCCTCAGGCTGGCCCAAGGAGCCTTAGAAATAGGAGAGGCGCTCGCCCCGCTTTGTTATTGCTGAGGCGCGCTTCCACCTGAGACTCGCCAGGGGGCGCTGCCGGGAGCCCTTCCCAAGGGTGGGGGCCAGCAGAGGAAGGAGGTCCTTCCCAAGGGGGGGGGGGGGCTCATGGAAGGTGCAAGGGCAGCAGAGAGGGGAGGGCCCCTTGGAAGGCATCTCCCCGCCCATAAAATGTTATCTCATATAATGATCTAATATAATATAATAATTATATCTAATATAGTACTATGATATGAAATGATATGGTATGATATTATAAGGCATCACCCCATCCATGCTGATCTCATACAATATAATAATTATCTAATATAATAATGATCTAATATAATAATTTATGAGCTCATATCATAAAATGTTATCTAATATAAGTCATCTAATATAATAATGATCTAATATAATAATGATCTAATATAATAATTGTATATAATATAGTACTGTGATATGAAATGATACGATATGATATTATAAGGCATTGCTCCACCCATGCTGATCTCATACAATATAATAATTATATAATATAATAATGATCTAATATAATAATTTATGAGCTCATACCATAAAATGTTATCTAATATTATAATAATCTAATATAATAATTGTATATAATATAGCACTATGATATGAAATGATATGATATGATATTATAAGGCATCACCCCAACCATGCTGATCTCATACAATATAATAATGATCTAATATAATAATTATATATAATATAGCACTATGATATGAAATGGTATGATATGATATTATAAGGCATCACCCCATCCATGCTGATCTCATACAATATAATAATGATCTAATATAATAATTATATATAATATAGCACTATGATATGAAATGATATGATATGATATTATAAGGCATCACCCCAACCATGCTGATCTCATATAATATAATAATTATATAATATAATAATTATATAATATAATAATGATCTAATATAATAATTTATGAGCTCATATCATAAAATGTTATCTAATATAATCATCTAATATAATAATTATATATAATATAGCACTATGTTATGAAATGATATGATATTATATTATAAGGCATCACCCCATCCATGCTGATCTCATACAATAATAATTATATAATATAATAATGATCTAATATAATATTTCTATATAATATAGCACTGTGATATGAAATGATATGATATTATATTATAAGGCATCACCCCACCCATGCTGATCTCATACAATATAATAATTAGATAATATAATAATGATATAATATAATAATGATATATAATTTAGTACTATGATATGAAATGATATGATATGATATTATAAGGCATTGCTCCACCCATGCTGATCTTATACAATATAATAATTATCTAATATAATAATGATCTAATATAATAATTATATATAATATAGTACTGTGATATGATAGATGATATGATATGATACAAGGTGTCCAGAAAGTCTCTTTATCATTTCTGTTTATTTACTATTCAAATGATAACGAGACTTTATGGACACAATGTAATATTATATATATATATATATATAAATATATATATATAATAAAAATATATATAATATAGTATTATGATATGATATGATATGATACAGGGTGTCCATTTCAATTTATTTACTGTTTAAATGGTAAAGAGACTTTATGGGCACCCTGGATAATATAATATAATATAATATAATATAATATAATATAATATAATATAATATAATAATATAATATAATATAATATAATAATATAATATAATATAATATAATATAATATAATATAATATAGGATGTCCATGAAGTCTCTTTGCCATTTCTATTTATTTACTATTTAAATGGTAATGAGACTTTATGGACATAATATAATATAATTATATATATATAATAAGTATATATTATGATATGATATGATATGATATGATATGATATGATATGATACAGGGTGTCTATTTCAATTTATTTACTGTTTAAATCGTAAATAGACTTTATGGGCATAATATAATATAATTATATATAATAATAATTTTATATATAATAATTATATATAATATAGTATTATGATATGATATAATACAGGGTGTCCATTTCAATTTATTTACTGTTTAAATGGTAAAGAGACTTTTTGGGCACCCTGGATAATATAATATAATATAATATAGGATGTCCATAAAGTCTCTTTGCATTTCTATTTATTTACCATTCAAATGGTAAAGAGACTTTATGGACATAATATAATATAATTATATATAATATAGTATTATGATATGATATGATACAGGGTGTCTTTTTCAATTTATTTACTGTTTAAATCATAAAGAGACTTTATGGGTGCCCTGGATAATATAATATAATATAATATAATATAATATAATATAATATAATATAATATAATAAGGTGTCTATAAAGTCTTTTTGTCATTTCTATTTATTTACTATTTAAATGGTAAAGAGGCCTTATGGACACCCTGTCTAAGCAAATATATTTATATATAATAATTATATATAATATTGTATGATAATAAATGATATAATATAATTATATTAGGTGTATTATATTATATTATATTATATTATATTAGGCATCCATATAGTCCCTCTACAATATATATTTATTTACTATTTAAATGGTAAATAGACTTTATGGACACTCTGTCTAATCTAATCTAATTATATATAATAATTATATATAATATTGTATTATAATAAATGATATAATATAATTATATTAGGTGTATAATATAATATTATTATATTAGGCATCCACATAGTCCCTTTACCATATATATTTATTTATTTATTATTTAAATGGTAAAGAGACTTTATGGACACCCTGTCTAATCGAATGTATTTATATATAATAATTATATATAACACTAGGTGTATTGTGTCTAAAATTAGTGGCAATTCATCCAGCAGTTTTTGAGCTATGTTAATCCCACAAACGAACATTACATTTTTATTTATATAGATTTTATTATAATATATGCTATGATATAATTATATTAGGTGTATAATATTATATTATTATATTAGACATCCATACAGTTCCTTTATCATATATATTTATTACCATTTAAATGGTAAAGAGACTATATTGTATTATAATATATGATATGATATAATTATATTATATGTATAATATAATGTAATATTATTATATTAGGCATCCATATAGTCCCTTTACCATATATATTTATTTATCATTTAAATTGTAAAGAGACTTTATGAACACCTAGTATAAAATAATATATACTAATATATACTAATGTAATATAATATGAGGGTGTTCATAAAGTCTCTTTACCTTTTACCATTTAATTGGTTAATAGATTTTATGGATACCTAATATAATATAATATAATATAATATAATATAATATAATATAATATAATATAATATAATATAATAATCACCCCACTAAAGCATATCCCTTGTGGTGGGAGGATGGGCCCAGTGGTAAACTGGCCCAATGGCAAGTGGGCCCCTTTAAATGTTATTGTATTTACATCTAGTATCTACTCTATACTGTTGGTCATATGCACAATTTTTGTACACCGTAATTAATTAATAATATCAATTGATTTCGCTATTATTTTAATTGTACATTTTCCCCACTTATGTGTTTTGCTTATTTTTAATTCTTATGAAAATTAAGTGATAGCCTTATAGTTGTGGGTGGACCTCCTTTGCCTCTTTTTAGACCCGGTTGGCCACTGGGTGGGCTTCCACACCTTGCGTTGGGTGGGTTCTCCTTGCATGTCATGGAGAGCTGGAGCCACGCTGCGAGGCGTGTGCAGGAATGCCTCAAGACAGCCTCTCGAGGAAAGAAACAATAGAGCCCCTTTGCATGAGCATCTGGATCTGTGAAGGGTTGCTTCTGGGAAGGGAGTCAGAGAGAAAGAGTATGTCTGCCTACGGCTAAGCCAGCAACAACCCCCCCCCCCCACTTGCTTCTAGCAAGTGTTCCAGAAAAGGGGGAGATCCATCTGATGCTAATACTGTTCCTTAGGCCACTGATTCTGGGATGCTTAAGCTGGTTTTCATGTTGTATAGGTGGATGGAGATGTCCCGGGTGTCTTGTCGAATCTTCCTGCCTTCTATCTCATCCAACAGATCCGAAGACAGGAAGAGAGTGGGATTGATTTTTGTAGCTTCTGCTTTGTAACAACCAAAATCCTCTTGATGATAGATCATACACTTAAGTGACAAAGCATTTCCAGGGGTGTGGAACCAAGGCGGACAGCTCTTTGCCTCTAATCAATCTTGCAGCTGTCACTGGCGGCGGTTCAGCCTCGGCTATATTAGATCGAACTACCTTAAATATTATACAAGTGCTTTGCAAACAATATGTGGGTCTTGCTGATCCTCTGGAGATAATGCTTTCGGATTTTTCCTTTTCTCCATGAGGTCCCTGGAGTGATGTAAACAATAGCTTTTAAATCATCATTGGAAGACACCATTTCACTCTTCTAGGCATCTGTCACAATTATGTCCCGCTTCTCTGTTGATTTTTCAACACAAATTCATTTTTGAAACATTAAATAGTATATATGTTTATTTCTTTGCTTGCTTCCCTCATGTTCAACCTCTTCGGAATAATATTAATGGATACTGTAGTTCTGAGCAACAGAGGCAACACAAGGAAAGACGATAAAGTGATGTCATTACTGTACCATTACAGGGATCTTATAGGGAAAATACTCAGTTTGAGTGTCTCTGTACTGTAATTGTTTTTTTGCGTAAGTCCACAGACAGAAAAGTTTATT